CCCTCTAGTCTTACACTGCTAAATTAGGGACGGCTAGCGCAGATAGCCCTCGTGTAGCTTTGCGCGAAATTCCAAAAAACAAACAAACAAACAATTTATAAGCAGCACATGTGAGACGATTTACATGTAACAACAGCCTTTTCGGATCTATGAAATATAAACAGAAACATTTAAAATCTTCGAATCGTTTTCGGGAGATTTATCTATTTTCAAACTGATTCCTCAACGTGACTCACGGGTTATTTATCTAGTTAACAATAGGTTTAGTTCTTCTTTAAATGCTTGCCTTAAGCTGTGTGAAGAGGCCATGGCTACTTTTTGCAATAGCTAATGAGTTAGCATTTTTTAAGGCTATCTGAAGGGTACAGATGGGAAAATTCTGTTCAGTTATAATGTTATGCTAATTGGCTTGTTTTATTGTGCTCTCCTTGTAATAGATAAGTAGATGATTGAAGTGATCTATGATAGATATATCATTGGTGCTTAAATTATTTCTTCGTTCTTATAAAACGTTCAATGAAAGGAAAACGTGACCGTCAATACAAACCACTTCTTTATATGTGACTCAGCGGTAATTCTAAAGACTTATTACGCTAAAATTCGAGTTTCGATACCCATGATGAGCATAGCACAGATAGTCCATTGTGTAGCTTTGTGCTTCACAAAAAACAAACTATACATGTTTCTTGCCTGAGCGAATGTAATTGTCTGGCGATTAGCAGTTAAAATTCTGTAAAGTTACGTTTTGTGCTAAAATGTTGCTGTAAACGTAAGTTGAAAATAATGGTCTTAGAGTTAAATATGTAATATTATAAAATTTCATAAAGCCCCTCTACATTATTTTCTGGTTTAATCTGTTTTAAATCCATAATTGTGGAACATTAGAAATTTGTTCTGAAGGATAGGAGTTTGTTTATAGTTAAGCACAAAGCCACACAATTGGCTATCTGTGCTCTGCCCACTACGGGTATCGAAACCCGGTTTCTAGCTTTGTAAGTCCGTAGACATACCGCTGTGCCACTGGGGGGCAGGATAGAAGTACTTATTCAGCTTAGTATTTTACAGGTGTCTATTTTTACTTCTAACCTCACACATCTACAAATGATCTATTTGCATCTTATATCATTTTGAGGCTAGTTGCCTTTCCTCTAGTCCATTACTTCAAAATAAAAGACGGCTAGCGCAGATAGCCCTTGAGTAGCTTTGTACGAAATTCAACAAACACACAAACAATAAGTTGACCAGAAGATCAGGATAACGAATTAAGTTTTCACACTCAAACTGGTTTTTTTCTTTTTTTGATCAGATCTGTTTTACCTTTGAGGTACAAGTGCAAAACAAAATTAACTTCTTTACAGCATTTTTTAATCAGGTGAATCATATTTTATCAGATGCAAATAGAAAACAAAAATGATACTTTTTGTATTATTATTTCATTAGTATCAGCTGTGAAGGGCCTCCCAGTGGCATGTCTGCGGACATACAACGCTAGAAACCGGGTTTCGATACCCGCGGTGGACAGAACGCAGATAACCAATTGTGTAGCTTTGCGCTTAACAACAAATAAATCTTTGAAATGAAAAAAAAAAATAGTGTCTTTCGAGGTCATTTTACAGTGCCACCTATGATCGTTTTTTCATAAATGTGTTCTACATATGTTTTTCACACGCACCTGTATCAAGTGACAAAGCTGTAGAATGTATAGTTTTTACATATATATTTTTGTACCCCAATTTATTTTTCACCTTCTACATCAACAATGAACTCTTGAGAAGTCAGGTGACACGATTATTTTGAACCCTATTGGTACATTATTTTAACAAGTAAACGTAATGTTTTAATTGAAGGAAGCAACAGATAGCTTCGAAATATATTGCTCTTGGTTTACGTTCAGCGTCTTCATAGTTTTTAAACAAATAATCGTAGAAACTAACATCAGTGGTTTATTTTTTTTGAAGTGTTTGTGTTTATTACGCTTTCTACAATATATTGTTTTCGTTACTATAATAAGATAAACATTCTTTGACCCTTAATTTTTGTGTCAAAGACAACGATATAAACTCACTCGCAAGTATTTTATGTTGTTAATGGCTCCCGGTAGGACAGCGGTGAGTCTATAGACTGACAACGTTAAAATCCGGCGTTCGATTCCCCGCGGTGAAGACAGCAAACAGTCCAATGTAGCTTTGCTATAAAGTAAACAAACAATATCTTGTCAGTATAAACTTAGTAAATTGTGACCAAAGAAACGCCAAAAATTAGAATAGACTATATAAAAAATTCATATTATAAATAATAAGAAACAAAGAAATATCGATCGTTAATTAATAAATAAAACTGATTAATACAGTTTTTATGACAATGTTACAAAACAATTGTAAGATTTAACTTACAAAAACTGTGTTATAATTTAGAAATTTGCTAATAAAAAAAAAGTGATAGCTTGTTTGTTTGTTTTGAATTTCGCGCAAAGCTACACGAGGACTATCTGCGCTAACCGTCCATAATTTAGCAGTGTAAGACTAGAGGAAAGGCAGCTAGTCATCCGCCATCTCTTGGGACTTTTTTAGTGGGATTGACCGTCATATTATAACGCCCCCACGGCTGAAAGGGGCGAGCATGTTTGGTGTGACGGGGATTCGAACCCGCGACCCTCAGATTGCGAAAAGTGATAACAAATAATAATGATCGAGACAGTAGTAGTGTTCTGAGTGTTTGATAGTCACGAAAGTTTTTTTTTTTACTTTTATCGGGGGGTGGGCAAATTTCTCATATTTTTAATTACAAATAGTCATGTTCAAATTAAAACGTGTATAATTTCGCATGTGCTAATTCATGCACTATTTAGATCTTTTTCTTGCACCGTTAGAAACGCTATGAACGTCATTGTCAGACAAAAATTTATATTATTGGCAAATAAAACTATTCGATTTCTTTATTTTGTTGTTAAACACGAAGCTACACAATGAGGGACCGAAATACGATTTTGAGCGTTATAAATACTTGTTGGAGAATAGAAATATTGACGAATTGGAGGCGTGTTTCTGTAATTATATTCCAATATAGGAGAACATTTTTGATATAATTATAAACATTTGTTGCTTAGGCTTATTATATTTTTAGCATTACATTATTTAACTAATCCCTTAGGGATTTTCAATAATTAGAAGAGTGTATAGTAACAGTATTCCAACTATACTTTATTCGTCAATACACATTGCCGAAGACGCGTTTCGCTCAGTCCAGAGCTCTTCAGATCAGCTGACATTGAACGAACACAGTAGTGGTCGCAACAGTATTTATGTCATTTGTTACAACAACGGTTGTTATGGTATGAACGTCTGTTAAAACCTGGCGGAGCATGATTATAAGTACCCTTGTCATAACACATTAGTATTAGGCCTATTCTATTTTTAAACACTACATTCTTTATCTAGTCCTTTGGGGACTATCAATAATTAAAAGAGTGTATAATAATAGACAATGTTATTATTTTTCACTATTTACAAGTTTGTGTGAATATGATCCGTATATATATAGAAAGTCGTCCTGCGCTTTGAACGAAACTTTAATTTAAATATTGCAACCAAACATGATGTACGGTCAACAACAAAGTATGTGATGCATAATCCTATCTTTACAGAAGCTAGAACTAAAGAAAGATATGCTTTCAGCGAAAGACAAAGATTCGATGGATGGTACAACAATTTAGCCCACCCAGACTGGGGGTCAATAGGTGAGTTTTTGTTTGAATTTTACACCAATTTCCTCAGATTGAAGAAGTTAATTAGAAAATATCCATGTATATATGTATGTGTGTGTACATACAAACACTGACCTTTCATTGAAACTGTATCACTATATTATATTCATTCTAGCGTATAGCCCGTCAAAAATAGACGGGGCGAGGTA